TTAAAGGATTTCGCTCAGAAGATGGACCTGCCTACCATGAGAGTCAGACTTCCTACTAGGTTGGCAGCACCACTCAGTGCCAGTCAGGAAAACATCATTTTGCCTTGTAAGCTGTTGCGATCTGAAATGAGGTTTGATCCAGAACATCTCAAGCCAGGAACGACCAAGCCACACACTCAGCAACTTGGCAAGAACAAATGCAGGAGATGCTGAACATCCCGAATAAAAACTGCATCAGGATAGAGCAAAGCAGAGTTTATCATTTCGGCTTGATGACCTTGCATCAGCAGCGTGGGCTGCGTTTCACTTCCGGTTTTACAGCTGCCAGAGATACGTATCTGTGTAAATTATTACTCATGTAATTCCATTGAAACCTGCTGATTTCAGTGCGCTCGCTGTGCCGAAACAAATACTAAGCTGCCAAGAGAAATGGTAATTTCTCTGAAATTCACAAAACTTTGATGGTCGTGTCATTGACCAGTCTAAAAGGCAGGAGCTGGAAAATATTTTAAGAACAGGTTACATTATTCATAGCGAAAGATGTGATTCTATAGATTACTGACCACAACTCCCATAATTTTGTTCATCGAGCAACAACATAGTAGAAGGCAAATTAAATGGGCCACAGTAAAGCCTTTGTTGCTATTGTGCACAGCATTTTAGTGCCTTTTATGGAATACGTCTCATTTACTTTAATTTTCAACTTACATTCTCATTGCTGGGATACGTATGGATTTGGAAACAAGTTTGCAGTTTAAACATCAATGGAATTCAGCGAAAATAAATAATACAGAGGGAGAAACTGTTACTGCTCATAAAAGGATTGAAAACAGGATGGCAGAGATTGAAAGTGACATGTGAAAGAAGTAACTGTGACATTAGAAAAATAGTTTCACATAGCAAATGAAGGGGAGGGGACAGCCTATTGGTATTATCACTGGACTGTAAATCCAGAGACCCAGGTAATGTTCTGGGGACCCGGGTCCAAATTCTGTCACAGCAGCTGGAGCCATAGAGATGTACAGCATGGAAGTCGACCTTCGATCCAACTTGTCCATGCCGACCACAGATCCTAAATTAATCTAGTCCCATTTGCCAATATTTGGCCCATATCCCTCTAAACCCTTCCTATTCATGTCCCCATCCAGATGCCTTTAAAATGTTGTAATTGGACCAGCCTCCACCATTTCCTCTGGCAGCTCATTCCATACACGCAACACCCTCTGCATGTAAAAGATGTCCCTTAGGTCCGTTTCATATCTTTCCCCTCTCACCTTAAATCTATGCCCTCTAGTTTTGGACTCCCCTACCCTGGGAAGAAAAGACCTTGGCTATTCACCCTATCCATGCCCCTCATGGTTTTATAAATCTCTATAAGGTCACCCCTTAGCCTCCGATACTCCAGGGAAAAATAGTCCCAGGCTATTCAGCCTCTCCCCATGGCTCAAACCCTCCAACCCCGGCAACACCCTAAACCTTTTCTGAATCCTTTCAAGTTTCACAACATCCTTCCTATAGCAGGGAGACCGGAATCGCACACAGTATTCCAAAAGCGGCCTAACCAGCTTCCTGAACAGGCGCAACATGACCTCCCGACTCTGATACTCAATACACTGACCAATAAAGACAAGCGTACCAAAAGCCTTCTTCACTATCCTGTCTACCTGCGACTCCACTTTCAAGGAACTATGAACCTGCACTCCGAGATCTCTTTGCTCAGCAACACTCCCCAGGACCTTACCATTAAGTGTATAAATCCTGCCCTGATTAGCCTTTCAAAAATGCAGCACCTCACATTTATGTAAATTAAACTCCATCTGCCACTTATTGGCCCATTGGACCATCTGATCAAGGTCCCATTGTATTCTGAGGTAACCTTTGTCGCTGTCCACTACATCTCCAATTTTAGATGGTAGTATTTGAATGCACTTAGAGTCTAATGACCACAAATCCACTGTCGATTGTCGGAAAAACCCATCTGATTCACTAATGTCCTTTAGGGAAGGAAACTGCCATCCTTACCTGGTCTGGCCTACACGTGACTCCAGACCCACAGCAATGCAATTAATTCTTAACTGCTGTTTGGGCAATTAGGGATGGGCGATAAATGCTGGCCTGGCCTGTGACGCCCTCATCCAACAAGTGAACAAAAAAAATGTGGAAGACACTGTCTAGAAGTATGGGAGAGGTGGGCCCCATCATGATGTTGAAAAGGGAGTTGGATTGTTATTTGTAAAGGAACAATGTGAAGGTTTTAGGCTGGAGAATGTCACTAGATGAGTAACCCATACAGAGAGCTGGTGCAGATCATTTATAAATCATCAGGTCAGAAGTCACACAACATAGAATTTCTGAGGAAGAGTCACCGGACCTGAAACGTTAACTCTGATTTTTTCTTCACAGATGCTGCCAGACCTGCTGAGCTTTTCCAGCAACTTCTGTTTTTGTTCCAGATTTACAGCATTTGCAGTTCTTTCGGTTTTTATTAGTCCAACACGTTTATTTGAAATCACAAGCTTACACAGTGCTGCCCTAGTGCTCCGAAAGCTTGTGATTTCGAATGAACCTGTTGGACCATAACCTGGTATTGTGCGTGACTTCTGACCTGGTCCACCCCAGTCCAACACCGGCACTTCCACATCATATATACTCAGCGAGGGTTTCAATACTGACCCTTAGAGAACTCCATTACAAACATTCTCCCAGCCTGAAAAATACCCAATTACCATTAGCTCTAGTCAACAAATGTGAAGCTGGAAAAGCGCGGCAGGTCAGACAGCATCCGAGGAGCAGGAAAGTCAATGTTTCAGGCCAAAACCCTTTGTCAGGACTGTCTCCAAGTAGCTGGGCTTCCAGCATCTGCAGTTCTTACTGTCTCCAAGTTGCTGAAAACCCTACAGTGAAGTCTCTTCTAAGGATGCCCACCTTGAAGAAGTTATCCCCCTGCCTCCGAAGAGAGCTCAGTGAGTCTCTCTCCCATTGCAACCCCCTGGTTATCTCCTCTGCCCTGAAGCTTTCCAACCACAATAACCCTCTACCTGCATCCACCTATCTCCGTCCACCTCTCCTCCGCGCAGCCCTACCCCTCTTCCCTCTATTTATTTCTGGGCTGCACACCCCCTCCCCAGTCCTTGCGAAGGGTTTCAGCCTGAAACGTTGACTTTCCTGCTCCTCAGATGCTGTCTGACCTGCTGTGCTTTTCCAGCTCCATATCGAATGAGTCTGACTTCCAGCATCTGTAGTCCTTGCCGTTATCTCTATGTCCAGCCACTCTGCCAATCTTATTTCAACGTTGCTCCTGAACCTTTATTTCCACAACCTATCACTGTTCTCACAAGGGTGTGACACTGTATCAAAAACCATTTGGAAATCCATGTACACTGCATCAACAGTATAACTCCCATCAATGACCTGGTTATGTTCATTTGACATGATTTTCCCTGAATAAATCCATCCCGTTTTTTCTTGGAGATGGCTAAAGGGAATTTTGAACGAAGTGTTTAAAATCTCATGAGAGGTCTGGACGGTGTAGATGAGGAGAAAACTTCCTGCCCATAAAAAAGTTAAAAACAAGACAGCACACATTTAAACTCACTCAGAGATAGCAAGAAGTGCCAATGCTGGAGTCAGAGATAACACAGTGTGGAGCTGGAGGAACACAGCAGGCCAGGCA